GGCACAGAGACACGGAAAACTGCAATTTTTATGGGGAGCATTTTCTATGAGGTCGCATTTCTACCGCTTAGCGATGTGCGATCGAGTCGACTGCCGATCATGCGTTGTTGTTTTTCACACTCGGAGCGATAATCTTTTAATCGGTCACGTTCGGGTCGTTAATTGCCAGTTACCCGAGGAGTTGGAGCCTTAAGTTAGCCTCAGGAGTGATTTTCATCTGCGAACCAATCAAGGACATCTGCGATTACTTTTAGGTATTTGGTCACTCAAATGCAGCCAGTCAATCGATAGGACCCTGCTCTAACTACCTAAGCCACGTGCTTCCACTTGTCGCCTGTAACCCGTCTGCTCGCTAGTATCAGTAAACCTGATACGGCAAAGTTTGTTATACAGCATCTTCTACCGAACTTTGATGCATGATAACTCACGTACTGCTACAAGTTTTGATTTGGTCCAGGTGGAGGAAGAGGTGGGGAAGAGGTGGCTATCACATTTATGAGCGTAAAAATAATCCTTACGCTATGTGACCGGCGTTTTCAAAGTAAAATCGAAAGGGGAAGGAGACCACTGAGTCACGTGCGCAATAAAAGCCCGGTACTGGCTGCACGCAGACCTGCAAATTCACAAAGAGCGACCCTTGGGAGGGGAACCATAATCGATAAACGGTCGAGGGCTCGGACGTAGGATTCGGGCCCACCGATCGATCAATCAGGGACTGAGTACTCGCGCCACGACCTCATTTACACACCTGTGCCAGTTAAGTAGTCATTTGTTACAGAGTGTATTTCCTGTATGCAGCCGGAAGGAAGTTCATTCGAAAGCCGGCATCCTGAGGTAACTGAATTATTATAGAATTGTTGCAGGATGATTAGTTGTACAACCCTACCTAATTAATCTTTTCGAAACGAAAACGCATTTCGGAATTTCAGTTGACATTTCACGAGTTAGCCCACCTACTGTACATGAACGGATCACTAAACGAACCCCTTGAAGGTCAACGAGATACCTGAGAATGATAAACACCAGCTCCAGACCAAACATCCTGCGTCTTCGATGGCCTTTGGCCTAATTGCAACGACGGCAAAGTCGTGCGCACTGTGTTCATCAAGGCCGGGATCATAGCGAACGCAGGCCTGCTCCTGGCTGTTCTTCAGAAGCATGTCAAGCCTTGGAGAGATTCCAACTACACTCCAGACGACAATGTGGTCCTCCGGTAAGATGGCGAGCCTCTACATACGTAACGGAAAACACAAAAGTGGCTGGAAAACCACATGCCCTATTTCTGGCCCAAGGATATGTGGCCAGCATCCTTACCGAGCTTACAGTAGGTGGGCTAACTCATGCATGAAATGTCAACCGAATTTCCGAAATGCGTTTTCGTTTCGAAGAGATTAATTAAGTAGAGTTGTAAAACAAGTCAGTCTGCAACAAAATTCTATAATATTTCCGTTACCCCAGGATGCCGGCTTTCGAATAAACTTCTTTCCGGCTGCATGCAAAAACTACACTCTGTAAAAAATGACTACATGATTAGCATGCCTTTTTCTCATTGATTTTCGATGTCCTTAAACATTGAATTATATTTCATAGAAACCACGCATAAAAATATTCATTCTTTTACTCACTCGGTAGAAAGATACGTCTTCTTCTAATTTTATAATCAAAAGATGGAGACAATTCGGCTTAAAGAAAGTTTCTAGTTGTGGGACTTTTAAATACCGTAAAAAGGCCGTTTATAAATCGTTATGTCTCTGCATTTATCAATGTGGCTTGTAAAGTTAACAATATGGATCAAATCCACTGCCAAATTTTATGAACTCTATATGGTCCCCTTTATTACCGTAGAGAAATGTGTGGTTTTCCGTACGCGGAAAATATACGGCTTGTAGTTTAGGTACCCTGAATCCAAGTGTAACTGTAAAGCGAATTTAAAATTAGTCGGGAATTGGAAAAGTTTTTGAAAACCGAACACTGCCCTTCTCTAGAGCATAAGATTAGAAGAAAACGTAATTGTCTATCGAATAAGCAAAAGAATGACGATTTTTTGAATGCTTTCCATGAAATGTAATTGAATATTTAAGGGTATCGAAAATCAACGAGAAAAATTCATGCTACTTAAGCAGTCATTTTTTACAGAGTGTAGTTTTTGCATGCAGCCGGAAGGAAGTTTATTTAAAAGCCGTCATCCTGTGGTAACAGAATTATTATAGAACTACGTTGTAAGACGATTAGTTTTACAGTCCAGCTTAATTAATCTTTTCGAAAAGAAACGCATTTCGGAATTTCGGTTGACATTTCATGAGTTAGCCCACCTACAGCATTTGGGCCTCACAACACCATTGAGGCCCTGAAGAACAAGATGTCATCGGAGTACATCAGGAACACGTGCCTCGAGTGCATCGAAGAAATCATTGCTAACAGTGGCTCTCATATCGAATAGTTCCTTTCTAACTTGAATTTCGAGTCTTTGTATAAAATGCATTTCTTTCCCCCACTACGTGTTTTTGATCTGGGTTCGGATCATTCAAATTACAAAAGTTACGTTGGTAGGGGACGCACACTGATCGTTCTTACGGAACTCGTTCCGTTGTGCCTTACGGGCTCTCTCTCTCTCTCTCTCGAGCCCAACCAGCAGCCGCACAGTGGCGCATGATATAGGCGGAATGATAATACCGACAAAGACAAGGGAGACTGAAATGGCCATTTCTGACTTATCAACCGTCGTCAGCCAGTCATACCCACCCCCGAAGTGTGGAACACCCGAGGCTCGGACTCGCGACCTATTAGTTATAAGTCTAACGCCTCTAACCACTGACCCACGGGCTCGTTGTCCTTTCAGTTTCGATCGGTAATAACATTCTGCCTATATCACGCGCCGCTGTTGGGCTGCTGGTTGGGCTCGAGAGAGAGAGCCCTTAAGGCACAACGGAACGGGTGAGTTCCGTAAGAACGATCATTGAGGGCCCTTTCCACCATTGCATATTCCCGATTGAAACCGACAGGGCAACTGACTCGTGGCCCAGTGGTTAGAGACGTGGACTTCTAGCAAACAGGTTGCGAGTTCGAGCCTCGGGTGTTCCACACTTCGGGGTTGGGTATGACTGGCTGACGACGGCTAATAAGCGAGAAATAGCCATTCCAGTCTCCCTTGTCTTTGTCGGTAATATCATTCCGCCTAAAATTTACATTCGCCTACGGTAGGCGCCTAGTTGGTATGGAAGAAGAATCGGCACCTCTCTCTCTCCTCGCCCTATCATGCATTAGTGGCCTGTTGACTGAGCGGAGACAGTGCAGTGACTGCTGTGTTCTGAAGCCTCCGTCCAACTCAGGTCACATGCACGCCCGGCGCAGATTTAGCGCAGTTTGTCTGATGCTGCAACTACGGCGCGGGGGGGGGGAGGCGACATTACAGACACCGATACACGCGAAGATGCGAGTTGCAGGAATTAATTGATCAGAAGAAGAAACGATCGCTGGAACAAGGGCTTTATTCGCTTTAAGTTTCGGATTCTCACTTGAACCCATCATCAGGGACAGAAGCAGAAAAGGGTGACTCGTGCACAGGATGTTGCAGTATTTATAGGATGTCAGATGGGGCGTCAGGTGATGAGAACAAAAGACCCACTGCCAAGGCAAGAAACATCTGGAGCCGTTTACCGGATCTGGTGCAGCTGCGGACAAAGCACCTACCTCGGAGAAACTGGAAGACTGCTCCGAACGTGAATCGTCGAACATGTGGCAGCGGTGCTGAGAAATGACGCCAACTCGCAAGTCGCGGCCCATTCGACGAGACCCGGCCGCACATTCAAGTTTGATGAGGCCGAAAGTCTCGCGCGAGGGGTTAATCGCGTGAGCCGCGAGTTGCTTGGATCATGGTTCACGGGACCTCAGTCTATCAGCAAGTTCAACGACGACCCCACTCCGTATTCCGTGCTGAGGCATAGTCTGACCAAAGTAACTGACCACTCGGGGTGCGCGCAGACCGGTGAGCCAGATGGCCGAGCAATCATCACGCCAGCATCCAACACTGGTGACGAGATTTCAGCAATTATCAACTTGCATGCAGGTCATCAAGCAATTAGCGCACCAGCGGGCAACAATCCTTGATGAAGGTGAGCGCGGTTAATTGCTATAGGGATGCAGTAACATAGCGACTGCATCCTATAAAAACTGCAACTTCCTGTGCACGAGTCACCATTTTCTGCCACTGTCTCTGATGATGGGTTCAAGTGAGAATCCGAAACGTCAGGCGAATAAAGCCCTTGTTCCAGCGCATCCTTCTTCTTCTGATTACAGACACCACACACGCACGCATGCTCAATTGGACCACTAACCACCTATACGACCTCTTATCACAGAGACGATCATCTCAAGCCCGTCTCTTCAATGCAGAGCGTCACTCACAGTCGACAGGAAGTCCGTTTGATAGTCTGGAAGCAGGCCTACAATGCCGGTCCCGCATGACGCTATATGCCGCCCCAACTGTCCACCTCTAGGTCTGCATTTGTGCACAATTTGTGCCTCCCCGGAGATTTTGAGGCGCGGCTTCCAGTGGAAGTGAACGACAGACCTAAGCCGACTGGCTTTCTGATCTGTTTATTTTATCCCCTGTTTGCGAATACATTCTCTCGTGATCGGCTGCTGCGCTGAGTTGCTGCAGAAACAGGTTCCCCTCAAAGAGGTCTGGGTAATAAACTGCGTTTATCGGAAGAACATCTTTTTAAGAAAGGTAACAAGCTCTAAAACGCAGGGTTTAGCGTCCATATGCGCCAGATTTCACGGTCTCATCAACCCTGCAGAGGCTTAATGGGAGGAGGGGGGAAGCATCCAATTCCAGTCAGTCCTGAGAAGTCATCGTCCTGCAAGGAGTGCCTAGTGCATGACAGCCGTGGCAAATATGGGTGGAGTCTGAACATTGAGCTTATCAAAATAGCGGGAGTTTCGCGAGAGTAGGAACGGCACCCGCACAGAAGGCGCACCGCCCTCGTCACCAGCCGGAGTTCGGATGGTACAACGCACCACCGCCTCGTAGGAAATGATTGCCGTTCGGCAGACCTGATTGTCCACCAGAACATTGACCTCTTTTTCCAGAATGGGCGGTGGGGGCGACGGTTCCGGAGGCACAACCGGTGGCGTCTTCTCCTTCGGTGAACCCTTGCCCTTTGACCCCTTGCCTTTAGAGCCCTTGCCCTTGGAACCCTTGCTGCCCCCCTTGCCCTTTGAGGCACCTTTAGGGGAGCCCTTGGAACCCTTCTTGGGGCTCTTGCTGCCAGATGCTGGCGGTTCAGGTGGAGGTTCCAGCTTGACAATATCTGCACGCATGATCACTGTGCTCTCCGCCAGGAATATCTTGTGATCTCGTACCATTCGGCCGTCCACAACTAGGTTGCGCAGGCTCCTGTCATACATGGGGCGGATGTTGAATTCTTTCGACCAGCCCTTGTTTTTGGGATTCACGGGTAGTCCAAATTCACCGGGACCGATGTAGATTTCACCTATACGGATGCTGTAGGTGTGAGGGATTTCGCTGACTAGGCGGCAGTTCTGTTCAATGCAGACAGTAATGGCGGAGACAATGTGTCGGGAGGAGTCGTTGGATATGCTTACGGTTATATTAACGGTGTCGCCTTGGTAGTAGACATCGCGATCAAGTTGAGCAGTGATGGCCAGGCTTCCAGTATCTTGCAGACAGGGATAACGATTGTAGTCGACCGTGGAAATGGGTCTTTCAACAGACGGAAAAAGAACCGGAGCTATGGTGTACTTGTAAAAGGTCATGGAGACCTCATTTTCTGGTGGTGGTATGCAGTACTCCGTCCGTGCAGCAAAGGCCCTCAGTGTCCATTTCAGACCACTAATATTTTCAACATGGTAGGGTCTGGTGAAGAAGATGGAATCGGGCTTCCTTGTCAGGTCGAAGAGGAAAGCATAAGAATACCATCCGTGGGGATATTCGTCGTGCACCTTTATCAGCATGTGCTGGGCAAAAACCGTGAAGGGGGTTGGACGGTCAAAGTTGTAGGGGAAGATGTAGTAGAAGTCGCGGTAACAACGCACATTCGAGACTACCGCCGGTGGGAAGGGTGGAACTTTGGAGTAGTCGTAGTAGACAAAGTCAGCCGTCACCTCGACAAACAATTTGTCTCCAGGCTTAAGGAGCGTCTTCGGTACGGCAACAGAACCAATAAGGAGAGCTCTCTCGTATTCTGACTGGGGTTCCTCCGGTGCACCCTCTCCAGTCTTTGCAGATGAACCCTTGCCGGGTGAATTCTTCGGCGACTTACTCTTTTTGGGCGACTTGCCCTTCTTTGGCGACTTTTTGGAGCCCTTAGGTGAGCTCGTTGACTTCCCACCGCCGCCCCCGGGCGGTTCCTCCTGCTTCGGTTTCTGCACCGGCGGCAGCCGGTTCCACACTTCGTAGATGTGTATTTTCGGGGCAAACAGAACGATGTTTTTGGATTTCCTGATGAAGATGGAGTCCATTGCATCATATCGTTCCCGGCCGAAAATTGTCTTCTCAATTTCCGCAAGCCGTTCTGGAGAGCCTTTAGATCCCTTGCCTTTGGAATTTTTGGATCCTTTGCCGCCCTTTCCCTTTGAACCGCTCTTTTTACTGGGCATTTTGAGGTCCTACCTTTCGAGGAGGCGATGCAGGACTGGCGGGCGGGCGCCGTGTACTGCACTCGTGCCTGTTTAAAGCCTCCCCCACGGTCGATAAGTCAGTCAAGGCCAGAAGTCGGCGAGCCCCCGAGACACGCCTGTTTGACCGATTTGAAGCGACACGTGCGGCCCCTGTCAGCATTTGCTTGCAAAAATGTTTTTTTCTGCTGGGATGCTGCCAGTTTCTTTTCTATGGAGAAAATCTATTCCTTGAACTACGACCAGCACATTATGTGGAATGCCTGTGGCTCGTTGCCTAGAAGACTGTTGCATCAATTTAAAGCAAGCAAGGACAGCAGAATTTAATGGCACCAGAAAATTTCGCGACGGCTTCTCAGCTGCAGCCTGTCGTTGCATAACACAAATAACAAGTGAGTTCTTACTAGAGGTTCCGTTGTTCTCCAAGCCATACCTTTTATGATCTTGCTTGGCAGTTCGCCTGTTATCTGCCTCACAGCACAGGTTCTGGTGCCATCAAATTCCGCTGTCCTTGCTTGCTTTAAATTCATTCGGGGAAATGTTACCTCAATCTCCTCTGCGGTGGTAGGAATAGAGTTTGTATTGTTCGGGAAGCAGAAGGTAAGATCGCAGTTGGTAGCCAGACATTATACGTTGATACCGTCGAAGTACGTACTTGTTATCTGTAGGTGTGCTTACATCGTCTGGGAAACTTGTTATCAGTATATGTGCTCCGACTGAGTTAGGCAGGTCGCCTGTTTCGGTCAGGCTTTTGGGTTTAGTGAGGGTTGGGGTTAGGCGTAGGTTGAGTTTTAGGATAAGGGTTTGCGTTTTAGGGTCAGGTTTCAGTGTTAGGGTTAGGGTCTAGGTTCCCGTTAGGGTTCCCGTCAGGGTTACGGTTAAGGTTAGGATTAGGGTTAGGCTTAAGGTTAGGATTAGGGTTAAGGTTAGGTTTAGGGTGAGGGTTATAGGCAGGTTTTGGATAAGCGTTGGGTTTTAGGATTTTGGTTACGTTTCGGTTTTGAGGCTTAGTGCTAGGCTTTACGGTTGCCGGTCAGGGTTGGATTTGAAAGTTTAGCGTCGGGTTTAATTTTCTGCCATTATTCCATCAGTTTAAAACTTCCCGGCACTTTCCCTGGTAACTTTACTTTTACCCAGAAACTCCAGCATTCCTCTTCCAGCCCTTCCATTTACCTCACCCATATAACCCCTTTCCCACCATTCCCGTAGGACAGGGACCTGGCTGTTCGCCTCCCCATTCCTGACTACCAACCGCGATCTAACCAAGCAAAATCCTGTAAGTCGATAAGCTGAATAAATAACAGGTCGCCCGCTCGTCTAAAGCGGTTTTGAGGATGTTAGAGTTCTTATTATAGGCTTCGTTGTTCTCCAAACCATGCCTTTTATGATGTTGCTTGGTAGTTCGCCTGTGATCTGACTCACAGCAAAGCCTCTGGAGTGCCTCAAACTTCCTGGTTCTGAACCACATAGAGTCTACAAATTGTTTCAACCTCGGTAGGAGGGCGCTTACCGGTCGCTCTACGGAACCCACTCGTCCCGTTGTGCCTTGAGAATCTCTCTCTCTCCCTCTCTCTCGAACCCCGCCAGCAGCTATAGAGCGGCGCGTGATATAGGCAGAATAACATTTCCGACAAGGACAAGGGAGACTGAAATGGCCGTCTCTGGTTTATTAGTCGTTGTCGGCCAGTTATACCCAATCCCGAAGTGTGGAACACCTGGGGCTCGAACTCGCGACCTGTTGGTTAGAAGTCCAGCGTCCTTCTACCGTTGTATATTCCCGATCGTAACCGACAGGACAACGAGTCCATGGCTCAGTGGTTAGGAGCGTTGACTTCTAACTAACAGGTCGGGAGTTCGAGCCGCAGATGTTCCACATTTCGGGGTTGGGTATAACTGGCCGACGACGGCTAATAAACCAGAAATGGCCATTCCAGTCTCCCTTGTCCTTGTCGGTAATGCTATTCTGATTTCCACTCTTTAATCTCCTCTCGAATTTATCCCTAGATTGAAGTGAGTCAGTCGGAGTGAAGCTTTATGGGCTCGGCCTGAAAGTTAATAAGAATATTTGGCCGGAATCCATCAGCTACAGCTGAGTCATAAAGCTTCATTCTGACTGCTTCACTCCAACTAAGATAGTACTTTGCGAGGAGATTAAAAAGGCTGCAATTTCAAAGATGGGGTGTCTACCAGAAAGCAGTTGGGAAACGTTGGGGGCTCTACTGATGAGCCGAACCCCTCGCAGTAGTGTCATAAAGCGGCAGAATATCAGCGAAATACATGCCCGGGTCTTTAACTAGTGCCTGTGCTCGTAGTATGGTAAACTATGCAGCCAAAAATAGTGAAGGGCAAATTTCTAGAAACCGAGCTGATCATACTTACGTATGAGTACTTTGGACGCACCAAGATGACGGGTGAATTCAGTGCATCAGTTGACCACAAAACAGTCAAAGTCGGTGAACTCGCATTTTCCACCATTTGTCATCAGACCTTGACAAAAATTTAATACACGGCAGAGTAACGAAAGGCAAAAAAACAACCAATTGGGAGGGGGGTTGGGAAGGGGGGTGTGGACGTCTGGGCGCGCCAGACGGGTGCCAGATATGTGATATGTTTTTAAGATCGGCAGACAGAGGATTGGTGGGGTGTTTGTATGGTAATAGTAGGGTGTAGGACACCACGTAGATGGCGGCTCCAACGTGTACACTACAATTCCGTGTGACTACAAACATCACTAATTATTCACCGTTCCTATTGGTTGAAATTTCCTGGGCTTCCTGACTGAATGTCACCTTGCCAGCGGCGGTTTATTCAGGTTCCGTTATTTTTTGAAAATTGTTTTCTTTAATTGTCGCGGCGCTCACTTTCTATGCCAACTGACAGCATACGTTAAGACTTTCGGCGGAAATTTATTTATCTTCTGTGTCTTCGTCTTGCGTGTTGCCTCATCTCCCTCTCTACCGCCATTCAACCTATGACACGGTCCAGAGGCCACCTCAAGTTAGTTGGGGTCCTACACCCTACCGTTGCGGTTTGTGTTTGTCACCGTTAAGTGACGCAGTAGGATAACGTTGGGGAGAGTTAGGCTCGGGCCAGGGTATCTGAAGGACATGGCTGAACGTCGTCTAAGAACATGAGACCAGTCTTTGCGATTTGCCGAAAATCCGCAGACCTGATCGATATTGGGCATGTGAAATTCGTCCTATCACCCAAATTGCAAGGTGACTGGTGGAAGGGCCTAAATCGGTCCAGCACAAATTGACACAATACAGTTTTAGGGATACTTTTGAGTTAATTGCCTCCGTGGGAAATCCCGATATCAATGAAAAAAACGATGTTAACCTTAGACGCTTCGTATTTGCTCACTAGCATATCCCTCACAGAGACGACGGGCAACCATAAGATGTCCTTTCTTCCAGTATAAACGTTGAAAAAAGCATAATTTGCTGCCAAAAAAGCACAAGGGAGAGTATTTTGAGCATGTTCTCTGCAAAATATACCTGAATTTATAGGGGCATTGATAATCAACGGGAAAAAAATTCATGCCACTTAAGTAGCCATTCTTTATCAGGTGTGGTTTTCGCAGGCGGCTAGAAAGATAACAATTAAAAGGCCGGCATTTTGGCGTGACTGAAATATGGAGAGCATAGGCCTTACGACAGTCAGTATTACAACACCTAGGCAATCCTTTCTAATCGAAAAAAAACATCCCAGAGACTCAGTTAACATTTCATGATATAGGCCAACTACTGCACTTGTGTGACGAGAGTGTAAATGCTATTTCCCAATTCACCTACCGATTGTAACTCCAAAACAGCTGTTCCTTGGCTTTACACAGTGAAGATGGAATCAGTTCGTGAACCCCTATTAACAAGCCTTTTCTGGCAAAGTCTTATTTCGTAGTCGTACTTGTTAGGAGGTTGGGGCTAGAGGTTAGGGGATTTCGGTTAGAAGTTGGGGTTAAGGACCAGGGTTAGGGGCTAGGCCGGGGCTTGTCTACTGCACGTACGGCTACGAACTGAGATCCGAGTTGTTTTCTTAATAGAGGATGGGAAGCTTGATTTGGATACTGCAAATCAGGTTCACGCAAAGTTAAATTTCGCTCTGGGAAAGGCGACGACTAGCGTCTTCCTACGCTGGATGACCTACTGAAGGGAATGTACATTTGAAGAATATTTAGAAGCCCGAGCTTATAAAGTCATTCAGGATTGTCTCTCTTGGCCAGATGAGAAGATTTTTGGGTCGCTTGGTTAACCAGGGAAGGAGAATATGGTCTCAATGACGAGCTCGACTTCACACGAAACGCCCGGCGAAAAACTGACAATCCTAAAAAGTCCCTCACCAAAAACGCACTTGTCGCCAGCCGAAAGGGAGGAATTATTACTTAATAAGTTATTTTCACATTACTCCATCAGTGAGCACTTATAACATCAGAAGAATAATATGCGATCGTTGGAGCAAGACATTTGTTCGTCTGTGATTTCGAATTCCCCCTCGAATCCACCATTAGGGATTGTCGCGGAATTGCCCCCCTCCATATTCGACGCCGAAACTTTGCTTGATCGCGCGGAGAGGAGGAACCGCCTCCGATGAGAGGATCAGCGAGATAAATACCCGAGTGGTTATCACGCCACCAACTTGAAGAAGGAGACACGATCGTTGGGACAAGAGCTTTATTAGCCTAACATTTCGGATTCCTGCCCGAACCCATCATCAGAGAGAAAAGCAGATACAAGTGGTTCATGCGCAAGGGGCTGCAGTATTTATAGGATGCAGTCGCCATGCTACCGCATGCCTATGAACATTCACGGCTCCCCCCTTCACCGGGGATCGTTGAACCTGGTGTAATGACTGTCTGATGGCTGACATTTGCGTCGTTCATTGCTAAAATCTCATCGCGCGCGTTGGATGTTGGTGTGATGATTGCTGAACCATCTGACGCACCGACCTTGGTGTTGGGAGAAGTGTTCACCTGTGCGCTTCCC